CCACACTTATTAAAGCAGCATCAACAAATGTTTTACTTCTAGAGAGCAGAGTGGAGACACTGTTATTGCAATAAGTGTTGTTTTATTACGTTTTATGTACTGAGGTACTGATTTACTTTTACTTTTCTGAACCAAATCAAGGTAAACTACTACTTTAAAATATTCACTGTATATGCAACATGGAAAAGCTATTCTTTTTATTCAATCTGTCAAACTCAGTGGCCAGATGAACAGTATAGCTGTTAGTCTTCTTTTACATAAAATCCTATGGTTTATTTTTAGCTTCGGTATGGTTAGAGAAACTGGTTGAGTTTGCATCTCTAAAATCAAAACATAAAGAATAAAACTGTACTGTATTTTCCGCACTATAAGGCACACTTAACTCATTCACTGCCATTGACGTCTATATCCGTCAATTGCAGTGAATGAGTCAATGGGTTTAACTCATTCACTTTGACAAATGTTTTAGTAGGAGTTTGGTAAACTAGCCTCACCGCTTGATGGATTGTTGGAGCATTACGGCTACCGCGGAGAAATCTAGGTCCTAAACTGTTAACTTCAGGTCCCGAAGTCAAATGATCACTGCGGCATCACTGGCTGTTAAAAACTGTCTAAATTCTTTTTGCTGCTGCTGCTTTACCAGGTGTAACAATTAAGTTTAACATCCAGACATCCATGAAAACAGAATTTATTAAATTTAACAGAATTAGAAGTTAGCAGGAGGCTAGCTCGGTAGTTTCCACTTAAGCATGATATAGCATGTTCTGACTGAGAGATTTCTGCAAAAATTCAAACGTACAGCTCTGCTATCACTTCCAACATAAATGAAGACAGAAAACTAAACAGCAGTGACGTTTGTAGGGTTACTGAAGTTGGGCTAGCTGGTATATAATGATGTGCAATATGATCGCTAGCGACACAGCTATGTTAGCATAACATTAGCACAGTGAAGCTGGAGGATGAATGCTAATACTTTTCCCCTCGATAAAAGTTAACGTGAGGGTTCCTGATGGTTAGGGACAAATGCAATCGCAGGATGCTGTAAACGGACCAAACTTCAGTCAGGAAAACAACTGAGATAATCCATCCACAATACGAGGTTAGTCATTAATATACTGCAACAACATGGGAATAGAGCAGCTGCCAGAGAATTCAACATTAATGAATCAATGGTACGTAAGTGGAGGAAGCAAGAAGAATGAGTTGAGTAAAGTTTGACTTATCTGACTGTTTTGTTTCGCTTAATGCGCCTTATGGTCTGAAAAATACGGTACTTGTTTTTGTTGTTGTAGCTTTATCCTGAAGCCAAGGGGGTATCATTGGTCTCTATGGACACTCAATCCTAACACCAACCTGAAAGCCTGTTTTAAAGACAGCTTTCTGCTCTTTCTCTGTCGTACTGGTGGTGGTGAAGGTAACAGTTTTGTCTTTTCCGCTCAGTGTTACTGCAGCTTGAATCGCCTTATCCTTTGACAGCACCCTCCAAAGGTCGAAGGACAGCTTGCTAGAGATCCCTTTCAGACGTAGAGTGGACACAAACACGTATGATGGAGGAAGGCCTTCTGGGAAAATCTCCCTAGTTTAAAGATTAAGAATGAAAAATGTAAATAGCTGTCGACCAAAGCCCAAAAGCTGTTTAGAATGAATGTAATGATAGCGATAGCATGTTACCTGGTGTTCTCAGTAATGTCTGTGGAGGCAGCAAGTGCATAGGCAGTCTCAGAAACTAAAGAGCCAGGGATCTTCTTTGCCTTGGTCTGAATGTTCATGCCCACCATCAGCTCGAAGCCTTTCTCATCACGGGATGCCACTGGGATTCGTGTGGGACAAACAGACTCTGGAAGCACCAGGGTGATTCATTCAGTCAAGTGGTCATTCAGCTATATGATATTTGGCAACACTCTAATTTGTGCTTTTGTAGATACACTTGAGTTTTCTGACCTTCACAAAGCTTCTGCTCCATGGAGTCTCGAATACGATCGATGGTGGTGTAATCTTCAGCATACAGGACATAGGTAGATGAAGGTTTATTGGCAATGGAGATCAGCTCTGAAGTGGTGATCTCAGTGCCAACTCCCACAGCAAATACAGTAATACTCTGTGCTCGAGCCTCCATGCTGGCGTCAACCTACAGATATAAAAGGTTATCTTTTGGTTTAAATTGTTTTCCCAGGTCTGGGGAAGAAGTGCTAGGGTCTCGGTTACAGTTAGGGTTAGGGGGTAAGTACTGGTTAGCTAGAGTATTAAAACCTCACAGTGTGGCTTTTCTATGCCGAAGTTTCTTTCCATGTTGATACTTCTTTTATGTTGCCTCTGTTATTAAAGGCCACCCAAAAACACTGACGTGGTTTTACCCATGAGGCAAAGGACCACTCACCACATCATCCTGTGATTTGCCATCTGTAACCACCACAGCGATGCGGTTCTTGACCAGATTGCCCCGCTGGGAGGAGGCAAACACGTGGTCCACTGCAAACTTGATGGCCCTGCCAGTCTACAAAAAGAAGTGAATTAAAAATAATAATTTTACACCAGACACCAGACCTTACACAACCCCAAAGGTTATTTGTGTCCCTGACTGATCTGCCAAGTGAACATGTTAAAGACTACTCAATGAAACCACTAGCCATTCCCAGTCAAGCATAGACATATTAACAGAGGTCTTTGGAAATGCAAAAGTTGAGTATTACAGCTGCAGAATTTACAGGGATGCATGTGCAAGTCTGTTTGGTGACCATGCTTGTGGCCGTGTTGTGTGGTCATCCTGCTGCAGATGTAGTGTTGGCAAGTGGCACCAGTGAACATGCCTAAATGTGCAGTCTGCTTTTATGTGACGCTTTAAAGGTTGCATCATAGGAGTAAAGTCTGTTTTGTTCCTTCACTATGCTTTGACATGAATAGTTTGTAGGAGCTGGCCACCTGTGTAATAATTTATCCTTTACCCATTTTCCCACCGATTGTTTCATAATTTTTGATATGCTTTGTTTAACTTCGCTTCCAGTGGAGTCAAAAGTTTCATTCCTTCCCTCTCCACTCTGCTATTACAACCAAGCAGTGTTGCTTATAACTTGTGCAGTTTTTTTCTGTGTAATTGTTTATATTCCTATATCTATTTACTAGGGGTGCAACGATATTCGTATCAATATTGAACCGTTCGATACAGTGCTTTCGGTTCGGTACGCATATGTATCGAACAATACAAAATTTTTCATTTATTTTATCAACTTTTCTTCTGACAATGCTGTCTGTGTTGAGTGCTCAGTGGATCTGCGTTCGACTACTCCGCCTAGGCTGCACTGTCGAGCGCAGCGCAAGCTAGCAAGACAGAAGCTAAACTCGTTGCAACATGGCAAATTGAACCTCCCCCACCCTCATTCAGATCTGGCCTTTGGAACTATTTTGGTCTTCATGTGACGTATGACCCTGAAGGTAAGTGCTCATGGACAAAAGTAAAACAGTATGTTGGATGTGCCACACAATGCTCAATTACATGGGTGGGAACTAGTGTGTTAGCGCAGTTTGTTTGTTAACGTGTTGACACCATCCAGCCCCACGCACGGGGCGATCCGCGGTAGCTCGTTAACGGAGATTTGCCGTTAACGTCATTTCAACGAGATTAACCTGAAAGCACTAGTGGGAACACAACGAATATGACTGCACATTTACGCCGACATCATCCTAGTGCAAAGACAAGTGGAAGCAGACAAAAACAACAAGCACACATGCTACAAACTTTACCCGAGTCATTTAGACAGCTGTTAGCACAGGATTCTCCTTATGGGCACCTGATATGTTTAATATGCTGCTGAGAATATAGCCCAGAAGAAGCGTATAGTATAGCTTTTATTTTGGAAAGAGCCGTTTCTCTGTAATAAATTCTCTTTTCCAAAGATGAGTGATTCCTCAATCAGATATATTTATTATTTTATTTTGTTTCAGCAACATTAAATTTAAAAACTGTACTTTTGAGTTAAAATATATATTTATAATTTTAATAAATGACAAATTAAAAAAGCATGAACATTTTTTTGTATCGAAAAAATATCGAACCGTGACACCAAAGTATCGAACCGAACCGTGAATTTTGTGTATCGTTGCACCCCTACTATTTACATATAAATGATCTAAATTACTAATCCTTTTTATTTATGTCAAGTCTTAATATTCTGCTTACATGTCCTGTGCACAATGTTGGGGAAGCTTCTTTAAAGACATAGTTTTGCAAAATACTTCATAACAGACAAGCTGGACAGCAGAGATACTCTGTTCTGTTTCCTAAAACTACTAAATTAGTTTGCAAAAACAAAAACTGATCAAGTTTACAGCGTAGCTATGATAACGTGTAACATGTAATAACAAAATAACATTGGCAGCAAAGCTTCACTGCTTATGGAAACAGTGCAGCACTGAGAAACGCCTGCCCTTTCGCTCATGCAATTAGCAAAGGTCAAGTGTGTGGAGACGGCTGCCTCACAACTGCACTGACTGAGCGTGTCGTAAGGATCGTACAGAAGAAGTAGGACGGCTTTGAGTAGGGAGGGGATTCAGTTACAGTAGAAATGCAATGGTCCTAACACACAAAGTTAACGCACATGTGTCACACAGTATTATCACTGTGGACATACAAATGCACAAGAATCACAGTTCATCACAATACAGTTTTAGCACATCACATTTCCCCTGTGCTAACCGATACACAAGTAGACAGTTCTCTATTATCTAGTTATATGTTTGCATTTTATGATGATTATTTAATGGGATATTAATAATGTGATGCCCCCTGTCACATAGCCCAACAGAACAGCTGGTGTCCACCTGGAAACCATCAATCAACAGGGAAAAATATTCCCCAGTGGGTTGTGAGTGGGTACTGGGAGTTGCTAGCAGTCACTGTGAAATGAATTGCTGTACCTCAGTCATGAAGGCCTAAAGTCTGGTCATTAACCAGGGAAAAGTGTGCATTTCCAACCAGTTGGTAAGGTGGTTGTCAGGGCTGCTGGCTGTCATCTGGTGTATTTGGCTGCAAATACATTTATTTGCAGTTCATTTCACAGTGACTGCAGGAAAAACATAACTGCTTTTGTTACTAGTAAGTTTGTCTGGTTGGTTAATATGTTAGATGTGTAACCACTCGCCAAGTACACACTCAGGGTGTGTGGAACTGTGAAGAGTGCAACATGAAGCAGAAATATGAACCTCCAAAAGTTGATTCTGTTCATCTGGACGTAGCGTTTTGTGGGAGAAACGTTTCGTCTCTCATCCAAGTCTCAGCTGACTGAGATTTACTTTCCTGGATGATTGAGAATGCATCAAGACAGAAATAATAATAATAATAATGGATTGCATTTAATTAGCACTTTTCGGGGCCCTCAAAGCGCTTTACAATTCCACTATTCATTCACTCTCACATTCACACACTGGTGGAGGCAGCTACAGTTGTAGCCACAGCTGTTCTGGGGCAGACTGACAGAAGTGAGGCTGCCATATGGCACCATCGGCCCCTCTGGCCAACACCAGTAGGCGGTAGGTGAAGTGTCTTGCCCAAGGACACAACGACCGAGACTGTCCGAGCCGGGGCTGGAACCGGCAACCTTCCGATTACAAGACGAACTGCCAACTCTTTGAGCCACGATCGGAAATATGAAACTTTCCCTTCAAAGTGAAAAATGTTGGTAACAAAGAGTTTGGAGACAAACTGCTGTTTGTGTTGCTGGTTTGCAAGCAGGTGTTTGCATCTTCCATGCAAACTAAGGCGACTGCAGCAATCACAAAGCGCTTTTTGGATTTCCCCCATTGACACCAAAGCAACCTGCAGCAGCTAAAGCTGCTTGCCGACCCCTCTGTGAGTTTCTCCTTCACCTCAGGTTAGCTCATTTCTATTCAGTCACCGAATAAGTCAAGAAATAGAAATATCGACATGTGTTACATACATGTTGATATACTGCTGCATCTGTTTATTCTAAACACATCCCCACGATACATGATTTTATATGTTCTTCTGCAAATTAGGACATTTAAGGAGAAAAGGTCCTGCCTGTGTGTTTCCTCCCAGGTAGCTGATGCTCCGTATGGCCTTGATGAGCTCTGCTACTCCCTGGTGTTTCCCAAGAGGAATCTCCAGCCGAGGTGTGTCACTGTATTGTATCACAGCCACCTACAGGTGACACAACAAAACTTATCTGAGTGGATCTCTGTTGTGTGTAATGCACCAAATAACTCGAGTGAGGAAAACTGCAGTAAATCTGAAAGGAAATTGGAGGTTGTTCAAATCATTCTGATTATGCACAGCATGCAGCATTACCTGTGTGTAGTGGGAACTGATATCAAACTGGCTGGTGATGTTGATGAGCCACTGCTTGGCAGTGTCAAAGTCCGAGACGCCAACGCTCCATGAGCCATCAATGATGTATACCAGGTCATTGACAGCCGTGCTGCAGCCTGTGCACATAAAGATATATACACGGTCATTAAAGAGAAGTCATTACACTCAGGAGACTTAACAGATCAGTTTTATGATCTGCTTTCATCCAAAGGTGCATGTCATCAGTACCTGCTCTCACATCTTCCTCCTCTGCAGCGTCCACTGTCGTCAGTAGTAAAATTACACTCCATACTGACCACAGCAACATGGCTCTGTAGGAGAACAGTGCACCGCAGGCCAGCCCAACCTACATAAAAACAAAAAGAAAGCTTCTTATCGTAACGATTAGGCAAACATTCTTTCACACCTATGAACAGATTACCATTAAATTATGGCCTAAACTATGACCACGCCCCCAAAACCTGCTGAGGTATTAGCTCTACGAGCACGCTGTACGGCACAGAGCTGTGAGCTGAGCCATCAGTGCTAAAACGTTCCTCGACACTTTGGATTTCTGACGCAATCAGACAGCAGTTACAGGAGTAAATGAGCTTCCCTGAGGTGCTGAGTTATGAGAAGTAAAAATAAGAAGTAAACAACTGCACGGCAAAATGCTGCAGCAGTTAAATGCACATGTTTGTGTGTGGAAGGTGCAGAATTTCCTTACATAGAAAAGTCTTTGCATGCACAGTTATGGTCACACGTTTATATACACGCACCATGGATGTGGATTTGGGGCTCTTCTTGTTCTTGTTCCAGAGTGGAATGATTGTACAACATCTTTAATAACTTCAAATAAAAAAGAAATTAGGTGGGTGGATCTTTACTGAATTCCCTGGACTTCCCAGGATTCACACAAAGCAGGTCCATTCGATCCGTGGATACATATTTATTTAGATATAAAGTTATAGTCAGAAAATAATTGAGTTGTGGGAACCAGAGTGGGCATATGCACATGAGCTGAGAATGAAAGCCAGCAAGAATAACTCTGTTTGCTCTGTAATTCAATGCAGTTACACACAGAAGCAGAAATAAAGACTCATAAATCAGTCAGCCAATCACTGCTGGTTTGGCCATAACACCCCTGCTTTCTCCTTTTCCATTTCTGCCACATCAAACACAATAAGGACACAATGACTCTGACTGTCACATTGTTGCTTCCTGTGTGAAAACATATGACAGTCATTGATGCTGTTTTTCACTCTGTTATCAGTTTGAATATTGTTCACAGTTTCTCAGATGTGGTGGAAACACGAGGAGGAAATGAGACTTCCTGTGTAGCTAAGGAGCCCCGAGCCTATGGCTTAAAGAGATTTTCAAACCATGAACCTGCTCATCATTGTCATAACTCATAGAGGGATTTCCCAGCCCAGGAACTAGAAACTATCAAAGCTCTCAGAGCATTGATTTGGTCTCTTTTTATGATTGGCAGCAGGTCATTAGCTGTGTTTCAGAAGTACAGATAGGGAGGAGCTCACCACTCTGTGAAACACTACGTGGGTTTTAACAGTTAATCAGTGCAAGTTATCATTTCTAAGTGATTGAAACCATATTCTGCATGTGCTGAAACAATATGGCTCGCTAATACGTGCTAAACTGGCTCCCTGCACTCAAGACAGCACAAAAACAACACCATTTTTCTCAAAATGAAACGTAAATACACACATTTTGATCTCAACTTGCTACTTCAAAGTAAATCAGTGTACGTGAATAGCTTCATCGTCAGCACTTTGCCCTTTCTGTGCCACACATAGTGCACCAGGGAGATGTGTAGGTTAGCCGTCCCCCCTCAGACCAGCTGAAGCCAGCAGAACTCTTGTGAAAGAAACCTTTCCTTTTTTACCCCACTGTCATCACGAAACTCACGACAAACAAAAAGTACAACACTTCCATTCTGACACACTCCATCATGTTGTTGCAGCTGTTGCTAGCTGCTGCTATTCCAGCCATCAGCTGGCTGCAATTAAGCCACCTTGGGGAGCTCCCCAGTGAGCAGTTACCCTGCAGCCCTGGAGCACATTTAGCCTGCCTTTAAGGAGTAACTTGTCACTAAGCTGAAAAACTCTGTTTCATATTCGCTTTCACCTGCATGTAACCAAATGTTTCACTGCTGTCACCGAGCTCAGTGTGTAGTCAGTACAGCATGAACGAGAAGTCAAACAGCTGGAGGTCAGCTAGAGCAAGATATAACTGCTTTAAATGCTTCAGTGTTATTACAGTCATTACGTACTGGCTTTGTGTGTGTTTTCAGCTAGAGCTAAATCATGCTACCAGAGGAACTGTGTCCTGAACAACAGACACTGAGCACTAAAACATGTATGCAAGGACTCAGCCCACGTCCAGTGGACACACTGTGTTGTAATATGCAGCTGGTACATACTGCATGTGATATATGATGTGAGAATGAGTCCAGAGTGTCTTGTGAAATGACTACATCTCTGTCTCTCCCTCTCCTCTGTCCCCTCTCCTCTCACCTCCTCCTCCTCCTCCTCTGTGTTGTAAAATTCTTTTGTGAGTTTTTTATTTCATGCCATACCATGCAACACATGATGGAGCTTTCCCTGTTTTCATTCGGCAGCACAAACATGGCTCCACCGACCACAAGGCAGGCCCAGAGAAAATAACAACGTGAGCACTATTGCTGGGATGGGAAAGCAGAAACACAGGCATGGCAGAGAAGGCTGCACTGTGCTGGCACAGGCTTTAAAGACAGGGGAGGATCCGTGGGCTGCAGAGAGTGCAGCCACCACAACCTTTCTTTGACATGGTCCTCTCCCTGTAATGCTTGTTCTCCGAAATATTTTTAAACCAGAAACACCGAAAGAATAGGCAGTGTGTGCAAAACCTTGATAGGAATCACTAAGAATTGTTATTAAGTAACTTTTTTGTATTACTGCGTACATATTCCTCTCTACAAGATCAAACTGGTGAATAAATGTAAATTAAATGGACATTTAAACGCCATATAAGTTATATGTAGGTAACATGGGTAGTAAGTTTGCTACAGGCTTGAAATGGGCAAACTCTATGTTTACTATAAAAGGCCTCTGTGTGTTTAGGAGCGTGGGTTCATCATGGGTGTGTTCTGAGTTTTAGAATGAATCCCAGTTTCTGTTTTAAAGTGAAATAAGAGCCACTGAAAAGATGAGCTGGGTGCTGTTTTTATCACTCGTGAGTTAATCAGGTTGATACATGGAGTCCTCGAGCCACATATGAGATGCAGGCAAACATCTCTGTGTAGTTTGGGTCTGTTGCCACTTGCAGAGTCACTGGAGATCGATAAAGGTTGTTCTGAATCATTATTGTTAACGACCATGAAACGTTTCTATCGTGTTGGGGAGGATCTCTTCCAGAATAATAATGCCTTCTTGTCCATTCTTGTTTTTGTTTACACGGGTGACTGAACCAGGTTTTGGGACAATATGTCATGGAAAGTCTTTATTTTGTTGGACAACAAATGACAACATACCAGGTCCTGGGGTAAAAACATACCATATGTTGTACTTTTCCAGCAAGAAATTACTATATCATTACTTTTAAAAATACTCCAGCAGATTTTTTTAGGAGGCAGCTCTTATTTGTGTTTGTTGCCCATAGCAGTGCGACTGAAAGTGCCAGATTTTCTTACTGTATAGTTTAGATTAAAGTTGGTTAGCTTTATAGCTTGCTTGCTCATTTTATCTAGTAGACCAGCTGGTAGCTAGCTTCTGACTGATCTGAATGGTAGAAAATTGCTAATCTGAGATGCTAATGTTCTTTTTATTGTGATAATTAAGCTGCATAAGCAGACATAAGTAAAAATGTAAAAATTCAACACTGGTCTTAACTGGGATTTTGCACCCTGAATAGTAAAAAGAACAATGGGAAATGTATCGTGGCTTTCACAGATACTGACTCTGAATTGACTGAAGCTTTGAAGGGTGCTTATACTTTTCACCCACTATACAGTGAGTGCTTTTATTTTCTGCAACATTTCCAATCAGTGCAACATTATCAGGCCACGTTAATAAAGAAAAAACATGCGCAATTGAGTAATTGACCATGTTGATCATTTAAAGGCCCAAATATAATTATTCAGGTCTTCTCACTGTCCGCTGTATGTCAAGGTGGGAGAGTTACCTCGCTATCACTTTTTATGTCATGGAATCGTGTGAGTGCACAGCTGTAAGCAAACACCGAATCTTTACTTAAGGAAAGGAAAAGACACAATGTTACATGAAAATGTTAAACTATTCAATATTAACTTTAATATTTACTATAATTCAATAGAACTTTCACAGGGAGAAAAAACTACAGTAATGTTAGCTACATCCCATTTAGTGCATGTTAATTCACTGTCATGTCTCATGAGGCTTAATGGAGACACTTAATGGGAATAAGTCATCTCTATTATACCTCTGCTTTCCCCATGCTGATGTGCAAAAATATGAAAAAGGTCTGCAGAGTGAGGCTAGTTTATCTGTCCAAATGAGAGCTTCATCTGACCTCAGCTGTCACTAGGTCATGCTCTCAGCACATGCATCCCTGACAGCTCAACTCATTCAGCAAGTCTGGAGATCCACAGGTACCCCAGGGGCAGAAATATCAGACTGAAGCTACAGACTGAGCTATGTGTGCATTATACTTGTAGTTATATTGTTTATTGTAATATTAGATATTGAGTCCTGGTAATTTTAACTGCAGCAATTATATTTTCTGTGAATGTGCTGATAAAACTGGAACTGATGGTTTGAATGCAAACACATATTTAATTGAGCCAAAGTCTCACAGCTGTATTATGAATGTGTAAGCGTGTTCAGTTGTATAGCATCCTGGGTAAAGATGGAAAACTGTGATTAATGTGGAGGCAGTGGCTGTAATAGTAGAAATGAGTCCTGCCTCTTTGAAGGCTGCAGTGCAGCCTGTGCAGAAGCGTGTGCTAATTACAGTGTTAGTGCACCACATGCGCCGGAATAGTTGCTGCTTTTAGCCTCATGTCAGGCTGCTGCTAGCCCCCTTTGCTCACTGCTAACATGTTGAAAGTATAAAGTATCCTTTGTGTGGATGTTTCATCCTTATGTGTGAATACTAAGCATCTGTTGTACAAATTTTTCTTTTCAGAACCACAAACACACACACACACACACACACACACAGATGTATATTCATACCTACATCCTTCAATAAAACTACAGCTGGACTGTGCATCATGGCTTCTACACATTTCTGAACAATTCACCAGCCTCAGTACCAAAGTGTTATTTAGCTTCCTATTATGAAAGTCTCTTTATCGAGAACCAGCGTATTCATTTATGTCCTCTGAGCTACCCTCCTAAGTCCTGATCTACTAAATAAAGGACATGCAGGGCCTTCCACAGATATCTCATTTGCTTGGGTGGCCTCCACAACGTCCAGAGAGGAAGGAAATCACAAAAAGGTTCAATGGGAAGATTCTCGTTCCCTCGGTTCTCAGGAGGATAGAGCGCTTTTCTATTCAATTTGAGCACTCACAACACTTTCTACTACAAGTCTCATTCACCCAGTCCCCCACACACACTCATACAATGCTTTCATCGGTACCTCTGCACTCTCACTGCTGACACTCACACTCCGACGGACACATCATGAGCAACAGGAGGAGCTGGGGATTAAGCCACCGGCCTTCTAAATCATCCTGCTCGACCATAAAAGAGACAACATTCCCACTTTAATGAGAAGAACCAAACAAACCTGCATAATCTGTGGGTTTCACATAAAAGCAGGCAATCGTTGCTAACACTGGCAGGTACTGTATTTTTGAA